TTACTAAAATAACTTGTTCACTTCCTAAATCATTTACCCTTTATTTTATTGATTTCTGTGAAGACTCTGAACAAAACAGGTTGCATGTTTGTATCCCCACAGTTTCAATTCTAATGTTGGATGTTGAAGCGAATGGTGATAATATAATATCACAATACAAATTTAAGTTTAAAGCCTCTGAAATAAGCAAGTTTTTACATGGTAAAGGCGTAACTAGTTAAGTAAGCTAAGTGTCACTAACTGAAAATGAATTCATATTTTACAGAAAGCAAAATAATGGAAACAAATTGCTAGGGGCCAATAGGTGGCGTGGTGGTTAAGGCACTGGACTCCCAACATGGCTAACAATAGTTCGAGTCCTGAACTTGGAGGCTTACTTTCTCATTTTCTCTTTCATGAGTGCATGGAGGCCTATAGCAAATTAAAATCATCATCATCATCATCAACATAAATCAAAATAAATAATTCTTTAATTTTTTTAAAGGAAACTAACTGCTTTAAAAAAAAATCTTAAAAAATTGTGAAATCACCCTCCAGGGAGTGCAAAATCTGACCATGTGTGAACTAGTAGATGATAAATATTCATCCAATCTTCTTTAGAATAGCCAACTTTGTTAAAACTAAACATTAAAAAATAAACAAAATTCATTAAAACATTACCAGACAAGCAGGTCACACTCAATTAATTACTCAAAACTACATTAAAAAGATTTTAATATGAAAAATATGTCATAAATTCTAAAGCATTCATTAAAGAGTACAGATAGCTCTTTTATATGCCAGAAATTGTCCTCAAACCTCAATTCACTATCAAAAGAGAAATAAAAATTAAAATATGCATAAACATTCTAAAATTCCACTATACTTGGTATACAATATATGGGAAATTACATGATGAGAAATATTTATCTTTGACCTTGCATATTGAAGCTCATAACTTCCTTTTCCCCCCATGGTTAGTTATTTTATTATTACTGTTATTATTTTAATCAACATAATAATTGTACATATTTATAGGATGCAGTATATATTTTTGATACCAGAGTACAATGATCACATCAATGTAATTATCATATTCATCACCTCAAACATTAATTACTTATGTTGAGAATATTTTAAATCCTCTCTTCAAGCTTTCTTGAAATGTGCAATTTATTGTTAACTATAGTTACCCTCCTGTGCTATAGAACACTAGTACTTATTTCTCCTATCTAACTGTAATTTTGTATCCATTAACTAGTATTTGCCCATATTTTCCCCTTTCCCTTTCCAAACAGTATTCTACCCTTCTACTTCTGTGATTGGAGATTTTTTTAGCTTCCACATGTAAGTGAGACCATGCAGTATTTTTTTTTTCTGTGCCTAGCTTATTTCACTTAATATTTCCAGATTTGTTCTTGTTATCTTGAATAACAGGATTTCACTCTTTCAAATTGCCAAATAGTATTCTGTTTTGTATGTGTACCACATTTTCTTTTTCCATTCATCTGCCGATGGAGATTTAGGTTGATTCCATATCTTGGCTGTTATGAATAGTGCTACAGTGAATGTGGGACTACAGATATCTCTTCAGCATACTGATTTCCTTTCTTCTGGATATATACTCAGTAGTGGGATTCCTAGATTATATGGTAGTTAATACTGTTTCCATCATAGCTGTACTAGTTTACATTCCCACCAACAAGGATATACAAGGATGTATATCCTTATTATGCATCCTTGCCAGCATGTGCTATTTTTTTGCTTTTTAATATTAGCCATTCTAACTGGGTAGAATGATATCTCACTTGGTTTTGATTTGCATTTCCCTGTTGTTTAGTGATGTTGAACATTTTAAAATATACTTGTTAGCCATTCATATGTCTTCTTTTGAGCAATGTCTATTCAGATTACTTGCACATGTTAATATTCATTCATTCATTTGTTTGCTTTCAAGTTCTTTGTACATTCTAGATATTAATCTCTTGTCAAATGAATAGTTTGCAAATATTTTCTCACATTCTGGAGGTTGCTGCTTCCCTCTGTTGATTGTTTCTTTTGCCATGTGGAAGCCTTTTGGTTTGATATAATTTTATTTGTCTATATTTGCTTTGGTTGCCTTGTTTTTGAGGTGTTAAGTGAAAAATCTATGCCCAGACCCATGTCCTAAAGTGTTTACCCTGTGTTTCTTTCTAATAGTTTCATATTCTGGGGTCTTACCTCCAAGTCTTTGATCATTTTGAGTAGATTTTTATATATTGTGAGTGATATGGGTCTAGTTTCATTCTTCAGCAAATGGGTATCAAATTTTCTCAAAACCATTTGTTGAAGAGATCACTTTCCTCCAATGAATAGTCTCAGCATCTTTGTCAAGAATATATGTGAACTTATTTCTGAGTTCTCTCTTCTTTTTCATTGGTCTATGTGTCTGTTTTCATGCCAGTACCATGCTGTTTTGTTTATTTTAGCTTTTCAGTATATGTTCAAATCCAATAGTGTGGTGCCTCCAGATTTATTGCTTTTGCTTAAGATTTTATTGGTTTTTGCTTTGTATATTTGGAGTATTTTGTGGTTCCATACACATTTTATAATTTTTTTCTATTTCCATGAAAAATGACTTTAGTATTTGGGTTTTTTTTTTTTTTTGTAGTTATTATAAATGAGACTGCTCTTTTTTTGAGAGAGAGATTTTTGCACTTGTGCTCACCAGAGAGACAGAAAACAAGAAATAACCCCTCCCCCTCCCGCACACACACACGGGGGATGGCCATGCCACAATCTCTTCTCCACCATTCTCTTCTCAGGATCTTGGCACTCACATGCACATGCCCAGCGTGGGTTTTAACCATCAGACCTGGGACTCAAATCACAGTTGTCTATGTGGGAGTCCAGCAACGTAAATATTACACCTTGTACTGGTCCCCGAGGTTGTTTTCTTTCTTTATTTTTTTAAATCTAGTTTGTCCCAACTCCCTTTGTGATACAGAAATGTAGGATCTAATTTTCACAAGCCAAGAAAAAATGCACTTTCATATGATTTTTTTTTGGTTGAAATTTCACCATAAGTAATTCTAGAGAAATATAGACTCTTCTAAGAAAAAACATGTAGAGTTCCTTTTGGTTTTGCCTTTCAATATTAGCAAAATGTAAAAATCCAGTATTACTGCAATTCCTTTTCACCGATATGCCTCTACAATATTCGAATTTATATATATAGTCTCCCCATCTCTCTCTCTTTCTCTCTCTCTTTCTGTGTGTGTGTGTATCTCCAGAATATATTACAGAGTGTTTTAAATCTCCATACCTAATATTTAGATAAGAGGTCATATGGGGGGGTTCTCTTTATTGTAATGGGCAATTATTTGACTTTTTATCTTTGTTAATTGGATATTTGCTAAACCTCATTTTTTGTATTCATATGCACCTTTCTCTGAACTAACACCATCTTGGTGTGAGCTTTGTGGTTCTGTTACTGAAAACTTGGACAACTCCCATACTTTGCTCATCGCAGGCATTAATTTATCCCAAATGTCAATGGAAGTGAAGCCAAAAGCTGTATTTTCTACAGCCAGAACTCCCATGCCTGTAATCTATGGGATGTTTTCTTCTACCAGCACTTGCCATGGGGCAATCTGTGTGAAAATAAAAAACAAAAACAAAAACAAAAAAAAAAAACAGAGGAATGAATTAAATCAGCCTTTTTAAACATACCTAGTTCATCTAAATCATTTTTTAAAAGTTCTTTTAAAATCTGAGAAGACTGGTACATCATTAATCAAATGTTTATAGTTAATGGTTAATATGGCAGAAGTGGAGTGGGACCAGTTGAATATTGGCAGGATCTGTAACAGGTGTGTCTATACTATAATTCTGATTTAATTATGGCCACCTGATTTATTGAGTGCCAACTCTTCAGAGACCAAAAGATGAACTGCTTCCCTTTTCCCTAGGATGCACTCATGTTCACCATCTGTGAGAACACAAAGTGGATGTTAAAGGCTTTAGTCCTCCCTTCCTTTCAAAGCTTTTACTAAGGGGTTTTCCATTCACCCCCTCAGGAAAACCTGCTTCCTCCTCTCCTCAGTATCCCCTGACTCATCTCTCCATTATTCTAACCACTCTGTTCCAACTTCTCTAAACATCAAGGAAAATATCTTGAAACCGAATCATTAGCTCTTAAGCCTAGAAGAACAGAGAGTATCTATTGCTTCCTAAGAGAATCATAGATATTAAACACGTGGGAAAAAAAAGCCAAAGGAGGCCTACTAATCAGCTATCTTGAGTGTCTAGCTGGGGAGCAGGGTACCCTGGATTTTACTCTCCGGATTAGGAAGGGTGTCCCAGGAGCATGAGGAGGAAGGATCTGATGACTGGTTGCTGTTCTATTTTTATGGTGGAGCATGGAATGAGTGGTGAGGGCCAAGGTACTGCCTGACCTGCCACTGCCTCATTTCCTGCCAATGCATCTGACTTTATGTGACTTGGGAAGAAGTCATGTGAGGGGCTTAAACTGTGTCTGATGATCTGTGTAGCTTGTTTTAAAAAATGAATTAATAGGGACCAGCAGATGGCTTAATGGTTATGTCACCAGACTCCCATGTAGCTGACTGCAGTTTGAGTTCTGGACCTGGCAGCTTAAAAATTCATGTTAGGCGCATGTGCTTGTGTGCCCAAAATCCCAACAGGAGATTGGAGAAAAAGGGCTTGTGGTGTGGCCATCCCTCCTGGGGGTTGATTTCTCACTTTCTGTCTCCGTCTCTCTCTGTCTCTCAGGTGAGTGCATGCACCCTGTAGGAGAAATCTCTAAAAAAAAAAAGCATATATATAGGCTTTAGTTAAAATAACTAAAAAAGGAATAAGATGATATTCTGGAGATCAAAGAGGATGAGTTGAATGTTATTAAGGGTGGGACCGTCATATTGCCAGTGACAGTAATGAGATTCCTCTATTCACAGTGGATGGAATATTTCCATCTGGACTGCTGCTTTGTGATGGGATGAGCAGAAGTAGGACTCTAGCAGGTGCACATGTCATATGTCTTTCCTTTCGCCAGCAAGTCATTATTTCTGTCTTTCTTTTTGACCAGGTTTTGGACTGGATTGAAAATCATGGTGAGGCCTTTCTCAGCAAACACACTGGGGTTGGGAAGTCCCTACATCGAGCCCGCGCCCTGCAGAAGAGGCATGATGACTTCGAAGAAGTGGCTCAGGTGAGAAGTTGTGTGTGAGTGTGTGGGGGTGAGAGAGGAGGGGTGGGTATGAGTGTGCACTTGCACAAATGTACTGCCAGTGAGTGTGACCAGAGCCATGGCTTTGGCAGGTGGTAGGGCATGTCTCGCCTGTGGCTACTGGGCTCCTTTCCTGCCTGACACAAGAAGACTTTTGTCTCCTCTTGGATCACTAGCTGAGTGGTAAATAGACTAAGTTTATGATCTACAGAAAAAATCTTGCCTTGGCCACAAGGTGGTGCTGGCAGGAGGCAGTGACATTGTTAGAACTGGTGCTGACTATTGTCACTGCTGGGGAGTAGGAGCTGAAAATCAGCCCTAGCTCTGCTTGCAAAGCTGCAGTATATTCCCTTCCAGGGCCTGTAAAGAGATGACACCTGTTCACTAGCCGTGCACCTACAGGGCTGAATGTACCCAGAGAATGTGCCTTGGCACAACGATTTCCACAATATTTAGTCTGTAGTTTCAAGTAGTCTTTTGGCTGAACTGAATATCTGATCTAAAAACGGCACTGTTTTCTAATTGCAACGAGATGCTGTATGAGAGGCTCGGACCACTTGTCTAATAGTAGAACTATATAAAAAGATTTGTTTAGAGTCTCTACCTTAAAGATTTTATCCTTGGCCTATCCTTTGTGGCACAACTGGTAGCATACCAGACTGCAGTACTGGAAACCACATGGCCAACTGCAGTTCAGACTCCTCACCTGGTCAACCTGAAACACACCAGGCATGTAAATGAGTACTCAAGGTGCTGGGAAAAGGAAATCGTGGCACAACCAGACCTTGTTGGGGGGACAGTCTCTGTCACTCTCTTTTCTCTTTCTCTCATGCATGCATACACACTATCGTGAATTTTTTAATTAAAAAAATTTTTTATCTTAACTTCATTATCTTAACTCTGAAGACATTATGAAATAAACCAGATTCTAATGTATGATTCCGTTTATACCTAGAGCACCTACAATAGCCAATTCAAGAGTAGGGTAAAGAGCAAAAGTAGAATAGCGGTTGCCAGCACTGGGAAGAAAGGAAGGGAGTTACTGATTAATGTGTACAGAGTTTCAGTTTTGCAGCTGAAGAGTTCTGGAGATGTTCTGTGGTGATGGTAGCACAGTAACACAAATGTACTTTCTTTTAAAGATAATTAAAATGGTCCGTTTTATGTTGTGTATATTTGCCACAACTCTTTAAAGTCTCAGCCATGTAAGGACCGTCTACAGAATGAGCTGGACTTTGCCAAAATAATACAGGCACAGGTCACAGTTCACTTTCTGATGAACAAGATGTAGCACAGATCCCAAATAGCTAGGTGACCAGGCATCCTGGGTGCCTCTCCAGACTGTTACAGTGCAAAGGATGGGAGAGGGCCACAGGCATCCCGTCTGCTAAGAGTGAGGTCACGATACCTGTCATGATCCATTTGAGTAGATTCATCCTATAATGTTGCTGTGTTTTGCCACTGGACTGTGCTATGGTTCAGCCTCTCCTCATTTAAGCACATCCCCAAAGAACCTGCAGCCCTGACCCAGTTAAGCCCTCTTTGCTTTTTCCTGCTGTAGAGTTATAGGCAATAACAGCCTTGGTTATAAGCCTATGAGGGGCTTGTTGTTTTTGTGTGTTTTTATAATTAAGTCACCCCAACCCTTTCTCTTAACCGCTCCTCTACCTTCTCATTGATGCCTGATATTCTTCTGGTGTGGGACAGTGCCTTTTCATTAGCAGCAGAGACACATTAACTTAAATGTACACTAAAGAAAAATAGAAACTTTAAAAAAGTTTATTTATTTGCTTTTCCATGAGCAAGAGTGACAGAATTGGAGAGATGGCACCCCAACAGGTCTTAATGCTGTGATCCATCCCATCCTCATCCAGCCCCCGATCATGGGCATGTGCATGTTCATCATATTCAGGGAGCTCTCCAGGTGCAAATCCAGAACCCTCCCAGATGGGTCAGTCTGGCAGAGCTTCACATTTTACTGCTACCCCACCATCTGGCTCCCAGACTAGACCCATTTATTAGATATTTTTATTTCATTATATATTGTATGTCATATCAACCCTAAATGATAGATGGGATTAGCCTTTTTTTTTTAATAGAAGACAGCACCCACACTCACAGAGATCTTCAATGTGTCAAGTCATCCAGCTTTCAGTGGATGTGCTGGGATTCAAACCCAAGCAGGTCTGTAGGACTTCAGAGTCATGTTCTCATTTTAATTCCATGCTTTCCCTTCTTATCAAGGTATAGGAGCTAGGTGTAAAATTCATTATGAAGTGTCCACTGTTCACAGAAAGTTCAAAACAAAGAGTGAGCATTAGGGGAGTGCATGATGCTATTGGAACCATTCTGTCTGACATCCATTATGCCTTTTCTCTGGCCCTGCCAATCAATCACCCATTGATATGATTTGCATCTCCCTTCCTCTGTTTTCTGATAAAACTGTATCTTTTAGGGGCCATCAGGTGGGTGGAGGTTAAGGTGCTGGATTCCACATGATTGACTCCACAGTTCAAGTCCTGGACCTTGCAGCTTGAAAATCATGCTGAGTTCATATGCATATGTGCTCAAAATCCTGAGAGGAGACTGAAGAAGAAGGGATTGTGGCATGGCCATGCCTCCTGGGGAGGAGAGGGGGGGGAGGCATTTCTCACTTTACCTTTTCTATCTCTCTGTATATTTCCAGTAAGCATATGTGCCCTATAGCAAAAACTTAAAAAAAAAAAAAAAAAAAAAAAAAAAAAAAAAGAAGACTGTATCTTTTTGAAAGAGAAAGGAGTTTAACTTTTGGAGTTCTAACTTCCAAAAGGCTCATGCTTTTATAGAAGAGTGTTTCCTCTATGAAGGAGAAGGGCTGATGTAGAACACGAAGGGAACACTTGAGCCAATAGTCACAATGCCATCAATCACCCTGCAAATAGGCCTCTAGAGATGGATCTTATAGTGTGAAGTTAATCCTGTCTTTTCTCTTTTTTCCCTTTGTTTCTACTCTGGGAAAGGAGTGGATTGTGGAATTACCTTACATCCTAGAATTTTTGGTCCACATGAGTGTGGTTCCCACCACAATGAAGGCAGATTGATTGCCAGTAGCAGCCTGCCTCAGACTGCTTTGTTCTGTGCAGTGTGATCACCATGCTCTGGGGTGATCCAGACAGGAAACAGCTCATTATTTTCTTTTCCTTCTGCTCTGGATTAAGTGAAAGCAAGAAAGGGAAGAAAGGAATAGATTTATTTAGGAATCAGAAAAATTTTGAGTTAGTCAGAAGAGCAGTAACAGAAGCCAAGGCATGGAAATTCTTGTTCTTTGATGTGTCGGATAGGTGTTTATGATATAAGCACAGGAAAAGAGTCACATACATTGTGGAGTAGGAGGGTTGGGAGTCACTTATGACCCTAAGGAAAGTGATGAGTCAGTGGGGGAACCTTTTTCAACTTTACCATTTTGCGATTCTTTGGCTTAAAGCTGATATGAGGAGGGGAATCTGAACACTCATTCTAAGTTCAATTTCAAAAAATTGTCTTGAATCAAAGCAGAAGGAGAGCTATTGCATCTGCTACCACTTCGGGAAATTTGCCCTTCTTCAAGGAAGGGCAAACCCTGAAGCAGAAAAAAATGGCTACCCACAGGGTGATGTTGAGGCAGGGGAAAGGCCCTAAACAGATACATCTCCACTCTTGGGATAGTTGGGGATGCCTGTGGTTCTTACCACTGGCCACTCTTTAAGATAAAGACATTTAAGGCAAGTACTAAGATAGGCATAGGCGGTATTTGTGAAGAATTAACGTAGCAATCCCTTGTCATTAAACTTTAAGTTTTATATTTAATAGCTCTTGAAAAAAAATAAAAACCAATTCTTTAAGTCATTTGAAGGAAATGAATTAAGTGTGGACGAGTCCTCAGTTCATCCTGCAGATGGCACTCTTTGAATAGCGAAGTAGAAGTCGAGCCTACCAGGGAACGGTGCCAGTCATCACAGCCTCACTGGGGAGGCACCCAAGTATGCCGGTTCAGTGGCCTAGGGCAGGGAATGCACCAGGGAGACCTGTGTCTACAGATCTTTCTAGTCCAAGCTACTAAGGTGGTGTGTGCTCAGATAGAAGACCTGGGCCCTTGGTGGAAGCCCCTCTAGGTCCTTGTGTCAAAATGCCTTCATTGTAGTCAGAATTGGTTTTCCCATGTGGATTAACAATTCCAGAATGCTGGGCTGCTCCATAACTCACTCCTTTCTCCAGATAGAGGATACAAGAAAAGACTTGTACTTGATGCTTGTACTTGATGCAGGTGGCCTAGAATCAGACAAAATGACTTAGGCTACAGAATAAAATAGTTTTACAAGGGACTTTTTTTTGTGCTCATTAGGTGTCATCAGGAGCATAAATAAGTAAGAGATGGAGTCATTTCCCATAATACCATAGCCATCAGGAGATAGATGTGTCCACGTCTGCCCAGGTAGTGGAACAGAACGTGGAACTGTGTTCGTGTCCTGAGATGGTTCCTATTACTTGAGAAGAGAGTTCTAAGGGCCTGTGCTTTAGCTAGCAGCTGTGCCTGCTCTGTTAGTGGTCGGCTTTATGAGCTCATTATCTGAAAAGGCAGACTTTCTGTAAGCTAACTTAGTGAAGAATCAGCAAACATTTACATTCAAATATATATTATCTAAAGTCTCAAAGCACCAAATCACATTTAAGCAGCTAGCATATTAAGTAGCATTACCACAGCATTTTTTTCTTTTTTTGGAGAGATTTTCCCTGTAGGGCGCGTGTGCTCGCCAGACAGACAGAGAGAGACATAGAGACAGAAAGCGAGAAATCACCCCCCAGGGGGGATGGTCACGCCACAATCCCTTCTCCTCCATTCTCCTCTCGGGATCTTGGGCACGCATGCACACGCGCCCGGCGTGAGTTTTAAGCCACCGGATCCGGGACACGAACCGCGGTCGACTACGTGGGAGTCCAGCGACATAGCCATTATGCTAACTGCT